TACTAGATCTTAGCTTTTTAAATTACTAATTATTATATATTTAGCTATATTATCAGCCGAGATACAATAGTTTCAAAATATCAACTTTTTTTAGTTCTTTTTTTTTTTTGCACCCCACTGTAATAAGAAGATACCATATATGTCCTCTCTAGATGGAGCTCAGAGGGTCGGCCGTTATAATACCTTCAATTTCCGGTTTCTGCATGCTACATAGATTGTGGCTCGCGCAAACCTATTACCTTGCCTAGCATATATCTTTTTAGAACGTCACAGCCTCCACGGGTGTTGGATTTCAAATGGTTCGGGAGATTCGCAGCGAAATGACTAAATGCGTAGCTAACAATTGCTAAGGTTATTTGATAGATCTATCATTACGCGAGAGTGTTACCACGTGGAATCAAACACTACTTATATGTGTTGTCAGAATTGGAAACTGAGGCTTTGTGAGAGTATAGATCAGTACAATCCAGACCTATGAAGTCCTCCGAAGCAGTTCATAGAAACTTAAATGGAGATGAAGAGCGGTTTTCCCCAGATGAAAATGTCGGAGACACCTCCTCCCGCTCCGCATCCAATACCGCAGCCACCTGTTCTCACGAACCCGGACAAGGCCTCCTCCAGCGCGGTCGCATTTCATCGCTTATCCTTGCCATGGCGGCTCTGCGCCTCGACAACAAGAGGACGGAGGAGATAGTAAAGAGAGAATACGAGGTGCTTGGTCCAATTAGAAGAACGCAAGCGCCTCAGCATGTAGTAGGTCTGGATAGCGAATATGTATTTGTGGATTAGTGACTGCGCGCGAGCAGGAGGTGCTTTATACAGTAGGCAGTAGAATTAGATAGCCTAGTGGTTCTAGGACTAGCAGCAACCAATATCACAGCTTGAACCCCTCACAAATACTCAAAGCAAGTCACGTACTTTTAGTGAGACTAGAGTGTATAACGAACGCTTTTCCTTCAGCATCTGCAGTCCTCCCGTCAATCCACGCGATTGCGGCGCAGAATCTCGTAGATGGCTCCACTTTTAATATGGACTTGTATTTAACAAGTTTCAGATTGTCACACATTCCTCCTTACACGACTTCTTGAGTGCTTTCTCTTCTGGATCTGTCAAAAACAAATTATCGAATTCCATTGAAGAACAGCTTCCACCTCAATCTCTCGCCGCGTCATTCTTCATGTTCCCTAGACAAAAACACCTGGATATGCTAGAAACGCTCGATCGATCGATCAACAATGTAGCAAGATCGTACCAAGTGCTCGATACATACTACATTTTGGAGAGCAGTTGTGGAGAGCCAAAGATGGCCAGGTAGAGAGTTCCACTATGGCATTGGTCTGGTCTTCCTGCTTATCAATGTGCCATCCTGCGATCCGTCAGCGTGATGACGAAGATGCGCCACGATGAGGAAAGGAGCGTACAGCCTCGTTCTCAAATGTATCGATTTTCAAGTTCTACAGTGATTAGCGATTGCAGTTCCACCTCTGCAAGTAGTATTCCAAAAGTCCAGTCATCATGAGATTGAGGATGGAGCAATCACGCCGATTACCCTACAGCTGACTTCTCATGCTAAGCTACGAACGGAAGGTGGGGTTGTTCAGAATTGTTGCGCAGCAGCGTGCAGGGGTGAAGCCACAATTGCTAATCACTGTACTTCAAGAACAGGCCAGTCTCCACGGTTTAATCAATGTAGAGTCTGAAGGGCTTGCGATAGATACAGTGGTAGTGCTCTTAGATCAATGACCTCTCATCCCTCTAGTGGTCTGGAAGTATTCATTAAGAGGCTCAGCATGCTCCCACAGTAATATCTCATCACACGTTAAGATAGCTTATGGTGTATAGCTAGTCCAGTTTAATTCTCGTCACACTTGTCTTGGAGGCGTAAACCAGGTATGTGATAAAGCTTATCTTGTAAACATAAGCATTGAGAATTAATACTGCATATAAACCACGGCTTGCTGGCGCACTCACTACTACTGAACCGAGTAACTTCGACAGGGCCTGTGACTTGTTATATTCCAGCAGTGAATATGGCGACGAGGAATTCATTTAAGACAACGATGGAAAAACCTGGTCAAAACAAGCTTGCACTAAGCTTTTCATATCGCGTACTAGATGACGATGATATTGACTTATTGACCTACGGTAGCTCTAAGTACGCATTCGTCACTGATGGGGATACACTGGTTATTTATGATCCAGACAAAGATTTGTACGCAGATTGCTTTCAGCCAAAAAACCTATATTGGACAACCCTCACTATCACATCGGTAGTTGCCGACAAAGATGATTTCTTTGTCGGTATGTCTGATGGTAGAGTGTTTTCATGTTCCAAAACGTCTAGCGGCTATGAATATAATCGATATATTGGTACAATCCCTGGGGCTTTCGTCGATGATGAAAAAGCAAATCAGAAGCCGGAAACGCTCCTTGGAGTGAACGAGAATTGGCTTGTTTACCAGAGCACTTGTCCTAGGCTTGTATTCCGGTCTAGAGAATCACAATTAAACTCCAAGCCAACATTCTCGCGTAGTTTCACAGGAAAGATCATAGCGCATGCCTTCTGCAGCGATACCAGTGTATTAAGAGTGGTAGTTCGTGAAGATAAAAGAAGATACAAGCTCTATAAGATTGATCCAAACAAGGAACGCAACAAGCAAGTTTTCAAGTTGCAAGTAAAGAATGATTCAGACACTCTGCTTGCAGTTTCCGATAAAGGCGACATGGCCTTTGCGGCTCTCAACGGATTGCACATCTATCGACCAGAGACAGGTGATAATTCGCCAGGTTTTACGCATCTTGACCCTCTTACTTCGAGTCTTCAAGCCTCAAGGTATGGTGATGCCTGCTTCGCCGCTTACCATGGCAGTGAGTACTTTATTCTCTGTATAGGGGGCGCAATAGGCATCGCAAAGAAGCACCCTGAGAAGTGGGAGAGTGTCTGCTATTGTTCAAATAGGGCGCAGCAACGATCCGCCGAGTTTGAGATTAGCGAAGCCAAATACCCTTATTCAGAAGATCCCAAAATGGACGATCAAGGAAGACTGGTCTTAAGGCTCGTAAACGATCCCAACAGCAATGACAAAGAACAAAGGATTTTATTCAGCTCATCATTCATGACTGATAATGACCTTTGAGGAAGTAAGAACGCGAAGCTTCAGATATAGTAGGTGGATAGTGAGCCATACAATTATTGCAATGGAATTGAAAGTAGTTATTCGTAGGTCTAGACCCTCAGTCCAGAAGATTCAAGTATAAATAGTTAAATCGCTTAACTAGTACTTCAGAGAATTGCTAAAACACGTCTGCATTACGCCTTGAAGAGTGAAACAAGTTGTCTTGAATTAGTTAGTCCCGTTCCTCGATCCTATTTTCGTTTCTCCTCAATCACATTATTCCGTTTGCTGTATAGCATAGGCCTTAATTTTAGCATGATAGAAGGTTTGACTATACAGGGCGGGTAGGCGTTAACGATAGCGTGATTGAAGTTATGTATCTTAGAGTATGGAGGTAATTAGTCTAAAGTAACTAGTTAATTAGTTAAGTAACTACTCGTATTGTAAGTGCGGGGTCAGTTCTGCACTAACCGTATTAGGAAGCTGCTTCGATCTCACGTACTGGCCAGGGTGGCAATCAGGCATGAACAAGCGCGCGACAGTCGCCACGAGGCTGGCGGTGACTTCTTATACCTATAGTACCATTCGGAAGTCTAGGCGAGTCAGTTTATCACCTTCATAGGGTCTTAGGGGTCAAGTGCCATGCTGTACAGCATAGACTTGGATTTTGGCACCATCGAAGGCTTGACTGCGCACGGCGTGCAGGCGTCAACGATGGCGTAATTTTTGTATTTAGAAGTATACAAGTAGGCTAAAGTAGGCTAAGAAGTTATTGACAGAATATTGCAGATTGATCACACGCGCTTGGAAGATTATGAATGCTTGATTTCAAAGTACCTGGTGTTCGTCTCGCGACGGGGTGCATCTCGTGACTTAGGGATGGACGTTAACACCCTTCCCTGTGTGCCGGAAAACAGTGAGCAGGAATGAGCCAATGAGATCCAGCATCTCGCAGGGATGACTGCTGACCTTGCGCTCTCATTGGCTAGTTCCAGCCCACCGGGCTTTCCGTTACACAGAGAGGGACTTTAGTTACCGCTTGTTTCTCGCGGCACTGGAGGATTTGCGTACACCAGTGATAGAAACTGTCTTAATTTTATCTTGTTTTAATGCGTTGTTGTGGCTCAATTGCGCAGAACGTAAGGTCAAGTTTAGTGGGGTGAGCCACTTACTCATATGGGCCGCTTACTGATAAACCATGTCAATTAACTAGGTATAAAATTATAAAACTATCACTATCTATTTAGCTTATAGAGATTAAGGCTGAAGTATAGGCCTAAGCTTCGTAGTCCAAACGAAAGTTATGATTAGTGTTATCAAAGACACCAGCCCTCTACGCCCTGAAATCTAAGGGGATGTAATCCGTACACGATAAGTGTTCGCTGGCATCATTCTTCGATAGATCGAATATTAGTAAACATTCCTTCATTGGCTTATTGCGGTGTTCATGAGGACGGCCCTGAACTCGGATGATAAGGTTTTTTCCGTCAGATTGAATATCCCTTATCGTCGTGTTACTTTTGTTGTCTTCCCATTGCAAATTGTGATCTTTCGATACTTTCCAATCTTGCATCATATCATGTTGAGCGAATTTATGCCTTTCCCATTCTTCCTGGCCGTTTTCTGCGCACAACTCTCCTGCAGCTATACCTATCTCTGGGTATTTAGAGTCACTGTATGCAAAATATTCCTCCAACTCTCCTGCAAAACAAGTAAACTGTGGCAAACTATCCGGAGTACCTATGGAAAAGGGTTCTGGCATCGGGTCTGCGAATGGATTCCATATAATAAAATCGCCTTCATCATGACAGGCTATAACGCCACTTTTCGAAAGGTCGACTAATTCGAAATGTTCGGGTATTTTAAACTCGTTGCTCTCCTTCTGGAGACAATCATACATAATCGAGTGTATAAAAACACTATCTTCATTTTGTGTTGCGAACGTAAGCATTTTGAATTTATCGTCGATTATTAGCTTACAAATAGGTTCTTTGAAAGGGAAAGTGTATGGCTTATTTGACTGTCTTAAAAGGACTATTTCATGATTTTTAGTCTGATAAACAAGTACGTCTGCGTTACACCCGAGTAAGGTGATCGCTCGGTGTGAGGTATCCTGTTCGAAATTGTTATAGGCACCGAGCTTCTCACGTTTAGAACTGATAAGCTTAAATTTCGATTTAGCTTTTTTGCCCTTTATAAACGAAAAGATCGTTCCATCTGACAGGCCGGCGTAGAACCCATTCTCGAAGTTGATCAAGGACGTGAATCGACGAGTGAGTGTTTCTTGGCGATTTGTGAGTATTTTATCGAACACAATTGCTTTAGTCGAAACTCGGTAGATAACAACCCGGCTAGGTGCAACGATAAATGCATAGTAACGTTTTCCAAAAGCGGAAAATATCACACTATCATCACAGGGTTTTGAAACCATTTCGTGATTTCCGTGAATATAGTTTTCTTGGTTGCTTCTGTGAAACTCTATGTACAAAGTGAAACTTTATAGACTTTCCGGTAGCGAAGGACCGCGCATTTTGTAGTAGTTAGCCAATATTTGGATATTCAGAAGAGTAATATAAAAAAAGCTGTTACCTTACGCTAAGTCAATTACTCCCGTAAGCAGTGGTGAAGCATTCTGGCTATTACACACCTGAAGCTCCGCCCACTTGTACATATCTCACTCGTAAATTAGCCAAGCATCTGATGCGCTGACAACGATTTGTATATTGCTATCATTGAAAGAATCATGTGACAAGATGGTGCTGCTTTGTTGGCTTTTTCACTAGAAACTTGCAGTAGAGCGATAGGCTGAGGAGCATTTGTTCTGCTCTAGACAAATACGAAATCTAATGCATGACCTACAATAGTCCTCAAAGCACGATATGCGTCGTTTCTAAGTTGAATCATACAAAATTTTATGTAGTAGCAGAGCAGAGATCGTACATCGCTAAACTTACTGCATCATAGTGTCTATTCGTACATTGCCGTGACGCTGACTGCGTCTATTGAGTCAGCTACATCATCAGTCCGCCCTACACATATAATGTGAGAAGTTCGGACGTTGCCTCTAGACTGCTATCCAAGCCTAGTATCTTAAAAATGCTGACTGCATGGAGTATAGGTGAGTGATAGGGAGGTGGCGTGTGATATGAGAAATGTATAAATGTCATTTTGTAAACGGGCTTATCTTCAGATCTTGAGTCAAAGCAATCATTCTACTGTACTAATGCAGTTATTACATAGCTGTTAAGAGTATGGGTCTTGAGTGGAAGTAATATAAGACTTCTGGTGTCAAGGCTCTAGAGGCTGGTTTTCGCAGATGAAGCGTCAGGGTGCAGTGAACAAAGGTTCTCGCAAGTAGCTTATATATTGTACTTGCACTCGTAAATTAAGTTGAACACATGGAGCTATAAGGGCTCAATGCCTACTGCTAACTATATACTAAGGTTTTCTGCAGAGTGCTCTGTTGCCCTGTCGCGCCAAGCTGTACAGATCACAGAGCAAGTCACGTGATCAGCTCTAGCTGGTGTGGCTGTAGGATTGCGGCACGGTCGTAACCAGTTTGTACTGATGACAGGTCCAAGCGCGTAAGCAATTTCTGGGATCGTAACAATAGCGCCCTCTTCACGCTTCGCTAGGCGTCATCTTTTTCCCAATTTGCTTCACCGTGGCGCTTCACGAATGCCTTTAACTACTCTAGGGCTGAGATTCAGAAGAACCTTTAGGAATATATATGTATATCTATATTTTTAGCTTATTTAATACAGCTAAATGTGGAGATCATAGATATATAGTTTTTAAATATATAACTTACTTACTATCCCTCCACGTGTGGCGGAAAACCCTGTGTGGCGGCATGCCGGCAGTGCTCCCACTCCTACAAAGCTAAACGCAGCAGATAGATCCAGAGAATCTCGGAATAGATTCCTCAGCATCATAGATCTCTCGGTACTTTATCTCGTCGCTTCCAAATTCCTGCTTAGCTAGCAATACCACAGCTTGCTGCCAGCATATACTGCAGCCCCGCCTCGGACAGCCTCGGACGCGCTCAAGGTTTTAACGTATGTATTTAAGAGTTTGCTGAGCTATATAGAGACACATAAAGGGTATATCCCGAGCGGGATACTACGGTATCCTAGGTCGCGGTGCTGTTGCGCAAGTCTATTGCTCTACAGAGCAGGATTAACAACCAAGGCGCGCTACTCGCAGGCCGTACAGAAATGCTGCAAGCGGCTTAGCGGTATTCTTCCCGCGCCAATTCCAGACACTTGCGTGAGCGTCATTTCGATGGAGCCACCTGACGCTAACCATGACTCGCTTGTGTGCTTAAACGCCGCACTAGACTCCACGCATGCCTGTTGGAGAAGAGAATAGTAGTACAGGTAGAGACTTATATGTGGTCCTGCAACAGTGTCAGAATTAGCTTAGAGTAGTTAGTATAGACATAATTTCTATTCACTCATAACAGAATAACTACGTTTTACTAGAAGCTAAGAAACGCTATACGCCCAGAACGACACCCTAGACACACTATGTGCCTATACACTGCATTGACACGGTCCCGATACTGAGGAGGAAGCCATAGAAACCGCCGCGTTTGACGCAATACCCATTCGCCATCTACGGCAGCATATGGCAGCTCTTGGGCTGGAAGGGCGGATGCAACAGCGATAAGATCTAACGGTAAGGAGATATCCCCTTTGTTAGTGTGGAGAGTCCGGCCATCTGACGAGAGCACCACCGCCACGACCTGACCTGAATGGTCCTCTAGCACGCTGCGACAGTGGCCTGTGGCTGTCTCCCACACCCGCACTGTGCTGTCGTCGGATGCTGAGGCGACTAGCTGCCCATCTGGCGAGAACACCACCGCCCTGACATAGTTTGAATGGCCCTCTAGCACGCTACGACACGTGCCCGTCGCTGTCTCCCACATCCGCACTGTGCTGTCGTAGGATGCTGAGGCGACCAGCTGCCCGTCTGGCGAGAACACCACCGCGTTGACCTCTCGTGAGTGGCCCTCCAACACACTCCGGCATGCGTCCCACTCTACGTCTCTCCCAGAAATCACTCTCACTGCCTGTGGTACCTGTTCAACAAACACCTTTCGCACAATGCTCGACTCGGGCGAGAAGAGAAGAGCTGAAGAATATATCTGGAGGGGAGCCTTAGCCAGTATTGGTACAAATCGCAGCACAAATCGGACGGCATCATAGAGAAACTTCGCAACGGTACTATTAGACGGCTACATGTAGGTTAGTATTAAACACTGTAACACTTAGATAGGAATGCTCTACCGTCGCTAGCGCCTGTAGCCTGGCTAGTAGTCGCACGCATAGACTCGTTTCGTTGAGCAGACTCATAGCCTCCAGCCAGTGAAGAAGGTGTTTCTCAAGGAAGCAGTGCGTGGCGTCTCCGTCTTCAACACTGCGCCCGCTGCACTCGAGATGACCGACCCAGTAGCGGCACGCGTACTGCAGCTCAGGTGGCAGGTTGCGATCAACTGTCTTTTCGTCGATCTCTCCCCGTAAAGCTCCAGGGTTTAAGAGGTTGCACATGTCTTGTCGAAGACCGCTTGGCGCCGACATGAGCTCCAGGCAGCGAGATGCCAGCTTCTCGTGCATACCGGTCTTCTTTACCCAGAAGCTATTGTCGTTGCATCTCTTCCTGTTGAGTAGAAAGTCGCGGAACGAAGGGTGATGCAATCGCACTGGCGAGTTTGGGTCTTGTGGGACATCTACAATCGAGTATAGCTCATATAGCGTTCGATGCACATCCTCTATAGGAACACGCAGTAGCTGAGCTAGGGGAGAAGTAGAAAGCGGCGATTGTAGAAGCACAATCGCCCCAAGTGTCTCTCTAATCAGCGTGTACCATCTCTTCCTTTCCTGTTTCCTGTATCTGCGAACAGGGTTCCTAAGCACTGTAAGGTATATGCTGTCTAATCGCTGTTCGGGCAGAATCTCGAAGTGCTCATCTATACCAGAGTCGCTAGATGAGCTGTCATTTGCCGAGCTGCTGTCTATAGAGGAGCCGTCCTTAAGAACAGCACGCAGTCGGTCAGTAACGAATTGTCCACCTTCCTGGATGAAGCGACATGCAGTCGCAGCCCAGATGAACAAGCCGCTTGCACTCTGCACTAACAGTCCAATAGTCTCTACACCCGGCCAGTCCTCAGTCTGGTAACATTCTCTTGCTATAATCTTAAAGTGATGCTTAAGGAAAGTGGCTATGTCGTGGTTAACGATTAACGGCGAGATGTTGTGCAGGATAACGTCCTTGTGCTTCGAGTCCGCTATCGTCTTAAACCCGTGCCGGATCGGCACCTCTGGCCTGCTTGTCAGCAACACCCGCAGTCGGGCGCCTGTCAATGACGGCCGCACCTCAGCCAGCAGCTGCACAATAATGCGGATATTGTCGTTGCTATCGCACTCATCAAGCGCGTCCACAACCAGAACGAGCGAGGCTGGATAGCTGCTGTCGCCAAGCTTCGACAACGGCCCGAGGACAAGGTGATGCCACTGGTCGCGCAGAGACTGGCTAGCAATGTCGTCGCGCTCTACAACTGCGTCGCTAATGCGCCGCTTTAATGCTGGCACGTTGCGCGCAAGCTGCACCGCAAGGCTCGTCACGAACTTGCCTGCGTGGCCGACGTCGCCGCCGCCGCGCGAGAAGAAGAAGCTGGCTGCCAGACGCTGCTTGTCGTAGTAGCTGCGTGCCACCGTCCGCGCGATTGTCGACTTGCCTGTGCCTGCCAGGCCGCTCAGCCAGAAGATGCACCGCTCGTCTTGCCCGTCCGCCCAGCTGTATATCTCTTGTAGCAGGTCGACGCGCGTGTCAGGGAGGCATGTAGGCTCGTGCTGCTTAGCGTACGAGTTGAAGGGCGCATCTTCGGCACGCGGGAGACGGTCGAGTGTATTCTCAAGTCCTATTTAACGTGTCTGCTTAGCGTGTGCCATGTCTACTGAACGGCTTGACGGCCCTCGGCCAATCCCGCGACGTACCAATGTGGACAGAGCCGTTGATGTTGTTAGCTTGGACGCTCTTGTATGCGTTGCCGAACGCTATGTTGGATGTCGTAGAGACCATGGCATCGCTGTAGAAGACTGCACTATTAGTGGTGTGTCGATGATAGAGTCTGCGGTAATGGTCTGCGGCACAGCACCTCCTCGGCCTCAGCCTGGCGGCTATGCAGCCCGCAGCCTGACGACTTCGAGCAGCCACTTGTGGGGTCTAAGGCTGGAGCGAAGCACACGCAACTGTCGCAGCGTGCTAGAAGATCAGCTTGCACTCATCTCACACATCGCATTTTCGCCAGACGGCCAGACTCTCCAAACTAACGTAGTGGATATCCCCCTACTATTAGACCTCATCGCTATTACATCCGCCCTTCTAGCCTAAGAACTGCCATATGCTACAGTAAAAGGCGAATGGGTATCACGTCAAACGTGGCGGTTTCTATCGCTTCCTCCTTAGTATCGGAACTGCGTCACGGTAATATATAGGCATAGAGTGTGTCTAGGGTGCTATTCAGAGCGTGTAGCGCTTCTTAGCTTCTAACTAGTAGACCGTAACCTTAGCCTTAGCCGGGTGGCCCTGTCTAAGCTACGCTCGCGGGACAAGGGTCTGACATCAGCGCTGATATAATACCACTAACCCCGTTACGGCATTTCCGTACGACGTGCAGGTAGCGCGCCTTAGCTGTCAATCCTGCTCTACAGGTCAACATACCTGCACAACAGCACCACGGCTAAGGATGCTGTAGCACTTCGCTCGGGATTTACTCTTTATATGTCTTTATATAGCATTATAGACTCTCAGCTATATACATACAACCTCTAACGTATCCGAGGCTGACCGAGCTGGGGCTGCCATACACGCCTGCAGCGAATTATGGTATTGCTGGTCACACAAGAGCTGCCTTGCAAAGAGATAACATATAAGAAATGCTTGAGAGTAGAGGTCTCTATCCCGAGATTCTGCACGTTCCTTATCTATGGCTGCGTTTGTTGTGGTGAAGAGTATGGCTGGCATGCCGGCACGCAGGGTTTTCCGCCACACGTGGAGGGATAGTAACTAGTTAGTTAGGAAGTTAACTAGTTAGTTAGGAAGTTAAGAGGCTGTAGAGTCGCGCTTACTAAAGTTGAAATATGTCGGAGTATAACTATGTAGTGATTGGCCAGGAGCTAAGGCTATTACCTTTTGCTCCCACAAAATACATAGCTTAGCGTGAACAAAATTCCTAATCAGGCTTGCTAGTTGTATTATGCAGTAGGATAAATATTATATAACTTCTATATTTTTACACTAAAAAAGTGAAGAAAGTCTTAGCAGTAATCGTTACCCACCCCATTAGGTCAGTATCCGAAAGCGTAGGTGTGGATTGCAGTGGATGGGTGCCCAGTATAGCGGCTAGGGTTAGGGTGTTAGGTAACTAATTAGTGTATGAACATGTTGGAGATCTAAGCTAGTCATCTGATCTCTAATAGAATTAGAGTGCTTAGTCACACCTCGATTCTATCACTAGTCTAACAAGACTGTAATAAAAGACTGTGATAATTGATCAACCGGTCAATAGCTATTTGATCGATCACGGCGGGTAGGCGTTAACGATAGCGTGATATATGTATGTTAGAGTATGGAAATAATTAGTCTAAAGTAACTAGTTAAGTACAGTGAGGCGCAGCCAAAAGCGAAAGAGCACTAAGGTGGAAGCAGAGGCCAGCCGATCGGTGCCAAAACGCAAGGCTGTAAGAGTGAGCTATGTCCAGGCAGCAGAAGCGGGGAGAACGCCACGGATAGCGCCAGTTGCGCGAATGTATCGGGGTAGAATAGTGATGATAATATTTAGTTAAGCTATCTAGGGATATGCTTACTTGCAATGGTGTCAGCATAGTCTATACAGCCACAGGAGCCGCCTCGGTGGTTTAAGCCCCACACTCCGTACGTAGCTTAACGTAGAATGTTAGCCGCTGAATGACTAATGTGATTGGCCAATCTGCGGTCTTCTGATGACTGGGCTTTTAGGACACTGTCTGTGCGAGTGAAGTTGCAGTCGTCAAAGACAGTATCTGAGTAGTTAGTTGCAAATGAGATATTGGCATAGTAATCAACATGAGAGTAAGCACGAATCCATTATAAAACGGTACTCGCTTTTATCTACCCATACAGTATGTTATAGGCAATATGCTCATTCATTTCTCACAATACATGTAGTTACTAGCGATTATTTAGCTAGTTAAAGCGTTTTCGAGTTGCGCGATCAAGGCAATTTTTATTACATAGGCATTAGTGTCGTGAGTGTACATAGTTACAGTTGCTAGCGATTGCAGCTTCACCCTTAAGCGCAGCTGCGCAGCATACTTGAGCAGCCCCACCTTCTGTACATAGCTTAGCGCGAGTATTCAGCTCAACATGATTGGTCAGTCTTCAGTTTCACGATGACGAAACTGTTTATAACGCCGCCTGCAGGGGTGAAGCTACAATCGCTAATCACTGTACCTAAGAGGGAGCCATAGTCAACATATTGCACGATGACCACTAGTGGCCTGATATGGTACATGATATCAGCATTATCCAGAATAAGCATAATAAAAGTACTTATCGTACATATGTAGGTTAAACCTATGTTAGGCCATTAGTAAGTACAGTCGCTAGCGATTGCGGCTTCACCCCTGTAGGCAGCCTTCCAAAAGTCCAGTCATCAGAAGATCGAGGATCGACCAATCACACCAATGATTCTGCTGTTGATTTCTTGTACTAAGCTACATAAGGAAGGTGGGGCTACTCAAATCCATTCCGCAGCTGTGCGTAAGGGTGAGGCCGCAATCGCTAACGACTGTATAAGTATCCTTGCCAGCATACTATTCTTACTTTAATTACCTATCGTGCTAAACGTGATACTATAATAATATACACATTGCACATAAACACATTACAGATAAGTACAGTCATTAGCGATTGCTGCCCCGCTTTCACAAGTCCAGTCATCATAAAATCGGGGATTGACCAAGCATATTAGTTAGTTGTTCTGTAGCTGACGTCGCACGTTAAGCTCTATATAGAAGGTGGAAATGTTTGGAACGGCTGCGCAGCTCAGTGTAAGGGTGAAGCCGCAATTGATAGCGACTATAACTAGTTAACTATGTGGAGACGCAGTCAGAAGTGCGTTGGCCCATAGACAGACAAAAACGCTTTAGTTATGCACCTGTGTTTGAGTAATAAAAGAGGTTTGTATTTAGTGCCTTCCGGTCCGAGTATGATAGGTGTAGCAGCTGAGGGAAACTTTGAACAAATGAAATCTGATTGAGTTGGACGATCCAAAATCCACTGATCAATCGATCAGTTGAGTTGAATCAAACTAAATACTCGGCCTAATTGACTAGACTAGATTGGCTGAGTCAGACTGTTGATCACCTGATCTTATCTTATCTGATCGATCAATTTATCTAATCTTATCTGATCAAAACTGATCGATCCGTGGATCAGTCCCATTTTTGATCACTGCAACAATAGGTTACCAAGGACAGTAAATTGATGGTAAAAGTAGATTGTATTGATGTGTCTTGATTCTGCTTGATCGTGTGTGATTATGGAGACGCGCCAGCGAGTCTTATATCAGTGGTAACGTAACTAACTTTATTGCTTATTGCTTTGGACACCCTGATGTTCTGATTATTGCAGCGTGAGCCAGGTTCTGATTGGCTATAGTATCCAGAATCCTGAAACTCAGCTCCATGCCTGTATTCTGCGACTTACCCATCGATCTTTTAGCTTTTTTGGTCCTCAGGCTACAGTAAGCGAAGGGTCTATGTAGAGGGACAGACGATCGACTGCGATTGGATGTGAAGGTAAAAAACAACACCACCGCTACAGAATGTCTTCGAGACCAATCTAGATATATACTGGCCAAAACAATAGGAAGAAACCAAAGATAATAGCTCTAATGAGCAAACGATCCATGAGTAACCGTAAGCGAAGAAAGATACCTAATGCAGATAGAGAATGCAGAAGGGAGCGAAATAGATTCATTAGATAAACTGTCATCTCGACGGGTATAAGAGCAAAGTGACCTGCTACACTAGCTGTCCTAGTGCAGAGGGAACCTCATTATATACATAGTTATGTTATATCTCATAAATATACAAGCGAGGCTGAGCGCGACAGGACTCCATCGCGACCGTAAGTACTTCGAAGAATACGTCGGCTTAGCGCATAATACGAGCTGTGCTAGATTGCCGCGACTGCTTATCTATATGCACGCTATGTTACAGCCGCTGAAAGTGCTTCCAGGCAGGGACTGGTAAGTAGTTTGGAGGATCGCAGCCGAGCAGTTATCCAACAGACTAACTAATACACTCTCATGCACTTACAGCTTCCGCTCTGCGCACGCGGCTTTGTTGTCATCCCACGCTCACCCCTGTCTCGCCTAGCACAGGCTTTTCCTTGATCGCTCTAACTCTTGTCACCATTACCCTCACACGTGCCTCACTCCCTGCCTTTAGAACCCGCTAGACTTATTTGTCATATTTCGGAAGACATTTAGGGGGAAAAGCTATAGAAGCCAAGGTAGGAAAACGGATGAAGACATAGTTTACCTCAACAAGCGCGAGGTTGGAATGGACCCTCCATTTGACAGGGAAGAAGTCGCGAGAGCTACTCTGCATCCGTGAACGGCACGTCAGCTCCTATAGCAAGCCATCATCAAGACTAAAGTTGCCTCATCTCTGATTCTGCGATGCACGAGTCTCCACCTGCATCATCACTAGGCACAGAAAATGGTCTTTTTTCAAGTCCGGACAACAGCGCCTACTTAGCACAACCATCTCCACCATACCCCGAACCCATGCCTAAGCCTGTGAACTACAACTTAGAGCTTAACCATCTATATGGATATACCCAGCAAGCGCCATACTCGAGCCCTTCTCGACGCAGAGTCAGACGATCACAGGCCATCGTCACTATGGCTACGACAATTTTCAAGTAGCTCGGCATCTGACATCCACACTCTACAGTTTCCCCGCATACATATCCCCTTATGGGGCGCCGCCACGTACAGTACCTTATCATAATAATAGCGACATGACGAAACTGGCAATCTATCTAGATATCGAAAACGAACTAAAGACTTACTACATTCCAGTGGGAGATCTGCAAGATGATTGAATAGAGAGGCGGGGCTTGGGACTGGGATCAGGGGTTTATGAACGTCACCCAGCCTATACGTGTAATCAGACATGTTATTCACTATATCTTTTATATCTCTTCCACTATCTTCATCACTAGCACTAACAGCCCAGGCCCTATTGTCTCAGGAACCGCATCATGCTATCGCCTTCCGACACTACGGCACAAGGACATTGGAAAAGAGATGTTTAGAGTATTTCATTTTTAGGCATCTGCCAACTGGCGAGTGCAATGCACGCCCTCGTAGCTCAAGTTGTGCATAAATAAGATCGCCGAGCTGATGCAAGGAGATGGTGTTCCCTTTCATATCCCCATCAATGCCGTTCCATATCTCCCAAGATATGACCAGGACTCAGCGTTACCGCACTTGAGAAAAACTGCATAGGATAGTGCTGCTACGCGTTTCCCTCTCTATGAGCAAACCTGTTCTAACGCATTTGCTGCAGCTGACCAAGCTTGCTAGGAAAAAGACTCTGAAGCTCTGTGTCGGCTAATGCCGATAACGAACGTTTCAACCAGTATACATAGGTGCACTGCTTTCAGGGAGCAGCTTTGCGACTTAATGTAGATTAGAGTAAGCGTTCCCGGTTGCATATTTCACACAAGGCTTTTCGCCCAGTGACTTACGCTACACACTGTCACGGGCGGGCAGCCCACCAAAGAAGCAAGTGGATCCAAAACAAGAGTAGTTAACTAGATAAATAGACTGGCTGGGAGGTGGACTAAGTACAGGGTAAGTGCCTTGGCGCTGTACTCAAAAGGGTAGTATGAGCCAGGCTAGCCATCACACACTTCAGTAGTACCCTACGTTAACACGACAAACCTTAAAATTCTTTGCTCTGCTTTTTTCTTATCTATAGACAGAGAAAGCTAAAAGGCTATTCTAGTTCTACGTTGCATGTACTAGCTATTATGTTCTAGAGTTTTCTGTGACCACTGCATTCGAATCTATTTTTGGCCGGCATAGCTTTAAGTACGATTCGCCTTATAATTAGGAGCAAAGAAACTTTACATAGATAATCTATATAGATTATAGTATTTATAAACGAGGTCTAGGTTGATGGACATTTGCATATGCAAGAAATTTCGCTGCCGCAAGAATGAACCTGTGTGAAGCTTTAGATCCTTGCTGTAGAGTAGCATAATCATAACTAGTTAGGCTTTTATGAAGGATGGTATGGGCCAAAATCGTAAAATTACCAATCTTTACGATTGAAAAAAGCGCGTACGTGTTTGATTTCTAATTTTCCCTGTGTAGAAAGAATACGACGTAGAAGCAGAATAGAATATATAGTTAGATTTCGAAACACTTATAACTACTCGTATTTGATAATTAGTTAGTAACAGAGTCCATAGAATCCGTGTGTGCCTCAGTAGTTACCCAGATTCTGTGTACAGCCCACCCGCGATCACCGTCAAGACTAATCCTAGTTAAGGCTGAGACAAAATACCTTATCCCACACAAAAAGCAATAGATATACTACAGTTAGAAAGATTACAGATAGGGACTCCAGCACACATCGATCAGCCACTTCAATAGATTCGATCAGTTATGTACATAGTTATGTACTCTACGTTTTTATCAGTCTTTTATCCCAGTTACTGTCCTTGACAGCCAATCAGAATCTGATAACTCGAAAGTCATAACAAATGTTGCTGATACTCAAGCACCTGCCTCAAGAACCTGTGTAATCATATTAGGAATTTAAGTGCTTTCAAGCTGATGAGGAACTGTGATCGCTGCGTTCATCTTCATACAAACGTGAGGTTTTCCTCGCAAAGCCACCGTCAGCAAGAAGCAATCACTTCGGGTTAAGCTCAGTACGAGGAATATCTTACGAACACAGCACAACTTTCGCTAAGAGAGGCCTAACGTCCTGTGTTGCGTTGGTATGATCACGTTTGTGTGCACGCAAATTCGTGCCTCACTTGTGCATTCTTTTGCACCTTGTGTCTCGCTAACAATTCTCAAAAACATCAAATTTGATGGTACTCATGCTGCCGTCTTTTGGCGCCAGACAATCGGCAGTCGCCATATCTGTTTTCGCACAGAGTCCTTTGGGAGCTTCCACACACAACGTAGCCACATCAACGTTGCTAGCTTCGCTCGCATCTTGCACTGCAACGATGATATCGCCAAACCAATCCATTGACTCTACCTCAGGTGAAATGAAGCCTCGTGTGCATTTTGTCAAAACCAGTGCCGGGGGCTTCCATTTTGAACCTGCAGAGCTGGTCAACATATCCGTGGGGGACATGGTTACCTTCGAATTCTATCCACCAGACCATCCTATAGCTCTAGCAGACTACGGAAGCGCATGCGTGCCGTGTGGGTAAACTACAAAAGATAGGGTGGGCTTCTGGTTCACAGTGGGTGCAGACGCCGAGTGAAGCTTGTGGTTTCCCAACCCACCTTGCCGTCGAAACATCACTGCTGATTATGACAGATAACTCATAGGAACCTGACTATGAGTAGCAAGGAACCAGTGTTTTATTATTGTGCTGCTCCAGGATCTTGCATAGACAAGCATATGGTCGGCGCGATCAATACGAATGACACCCAAACACTCCACGAGCAAGTCCGTGCGGCAGCGAAAGCAGATTTCCAAGTAGCTCCAGGGGACCCAGTTCCCAAAGAAGCTTTTCAGACCACGGCTGTTGTGCCTCTAATCAACTTCCGATCGGGCATTGTAATCTCGAGTTCAGAGTCATCAAGCCTTTCTGCTTCAGCCATTGCCGGTATCGTCATCGGGAGTATGGTTTTCGTTGCAATTTTTGGGGGTGTTGTTTTCCTGCTAGCTCGTAGAAGTCGCGCAAAGGTCCAAGTGGTGTGCTCTCCACTTACACAGCCGCCTCGCAGTGATGACCGCAAATATAATTCAATCTCCCCAGTATCCCCCTTATCTCCAAATGTCTCATAACTATGTGTTAGATATATACTTCGCTCGGTCATAAATTTGGTACAAAAAAGCTAGCGCAGCAGGACTTTTCAGTTCGGCAACACGTCTTCATCACGCTCATACGCACATAGGGACACAAAAACTGTGCATCCCGCCAAACTGAATACTGCAAGCCCAAACTGGATGGAACAGGGAAACCGAAGATTCGATTTGATCTCTACTGCCGAAATTGACGACATAGCTCTATCGAGCACAGACCAAGCCTTGTGAGTCACATCAAAAGGCTAGCAAACAAGCCCCAAAACACGTTCAAGACGTCGAAAACAGCGAGAATACTCACGATATAAGGTGCGGAGAGAAGTGCAACGCGCGAAGAAAAACACCAACAGCGAGAACAGAGATATCAACGGCTAGAGCAATTTGCGGCGGTAGCGATGGAGTAGTCTTATCTGCCTAATCGAGCGACTATACGAGCATGAGGGGTGAGCCTGTATGGCACGTGACCTTGAACGGGCCACCTGGCCACCGCGGCTGCCTCGCCAATGAGGTATTCTCGGTGAATCCAAGAATTTCCGCCGCGCGCATGAAATTTACCTCCCCCCCCCCATAAGCAGATTTGCCGGCCGATGCGTGTCATGCGCGGCAAATAGACCGGCCGCAGGGTTTATCCTTCTGATAATGCATGAGAGTCATAAGAACTTAGTTGTCGCAGTCCTTGAGAGTGCTTACACGTCACAAACGACCGAAGCTAATAAGCGCTTTGAAAGATTTGACCTAAGACACTGCGCTCCAAGGATGTAACCTGGTATATGATCCTACGTGAATGGACTTTCAATCGCTCGCTTGTATGTGCTTGCACTAGAAGCTATTACGCAGCTCGTGAGACGTTTGTTTTGCATCTCACTTCCTTAGGGTAGGCTTTCTGAACGTCCAATAATTGTATTGTATGCATCACAATATCAAAGGAAGAGTGTAAGAGTGATCGATTTGTTTGGGCGTATGACGCCAGCTATATACTGATCTAACCTGTTTTGGTAAGGCAGCAGCCACCATCAGTGACTGAGCATAGCAGCTTCCCAGCAACACACAATGATCAATCAACTAAAAGCACCCATAACAACAAATGTTGTAGACTAGTTAACCGTATTTGTTTTATATTTTGCATTCAGTCATTGTCAAATGCTGAGGAAGCCAGCACAAGATGGGTCTCAGCACACTCATTCTCGCTATGTTCATGATGTCCGTTGGAATAGTGGCCCAGTATCTGTCCCGACGGAAAAGGCGAGCGGTATGGCTCTGAACGTGTTGTGCTTTTGGAGCCCTTCTAACTGTAGAGTAGGAAGATGAAGCCATCAGTCAACGATTTGGTTGCCAGCCGGCTCCCAGGCTTCAAAATCGTAGACCTTTCGGAATCGATCGACTTGAGCAGATTTTCCGTGCAGATGCAGAGTCACGATTGATGGAACTCTTCCTTTTCCACTTCCGACAAACAGGTAGCACGATTGAACAAAGGTTTCTGGGTACTAAAGCATATGGCACGATAGAGCCAGCAAATCTTGAGACGATCCTCTCGACCAGATTTAACGGTGCGGATAGTTACATGAAGTATATAGCCTTGCTAATTGTATCTAGATTTTGGGATAGGCCCTCGCCGATACGTCACCTACGAGATGTTCGGTAACGGTATTTTCACCCAAGAAGGAACTGAGTGGAAGCACTCTCGCGATGTCCTCCGACCGCAATTACAACATAAGCAATATGAGAACCTCGAGGTATTCCAGCCCGCCGTAGACGATTTGATAGACCTAATCCAAGGAGGCAGCGGAATAGTTGATTTGCAACCTCTATTCTTTCGCTTAACCCTCGACACAACTACTGCTTTTATGTTCGGTGAATCAGTTCGCAGTTTAGCCACGCCAGAAGCGGCTCAAGGTAACACATTCGCGAGTTCTTTCAACACCGCTCAACAATGGGTGACGAAGAGATTCCGACTCCCTGACCTCTATTGGCTCATCAATGGAAGAGAATTCCGACGGGCCTGTCACGACGTCCACAGGTTTGCCGATGAGATCATCGATCGTAACCTGTCGTCTGAGCGCCCTGCAAGTGGACGTTCGGGGCGATATGTCTTCTTGGATACTGTCGCAAAGAACACATCGAATCGAAATGCACTTAGAGGTCAGGTAATCAACCTCTTAGCTGCAGGTAGAGATACGACAGCCTGTCTTCTTTCTTGGGTGTTGTGAGTCGTAATTCAACACAATCCATGTTACATACTTCTGATAATTGAGATACGACAGCTTTCTACTTGTCCGTCACCCAAGAGTCATGGAGAAGTTACGCGCAGAAATAGCTTCTTCATACACAAAAGACAGCTCATTGAACCGAGACGTTCTAAGGAGAATGCCATATCTGAACAATGTGCTCAGAGAGAGTAAGACACGATTCTCAAGTTTCCTCACGATACTAACCTGCCCAGCTTTACGACTTTATCCACCCGTTCCCGTAAATGTGCGCAGCACAACAACAACTACGGTCCTGCCAACAGGTGGAGGGCCAGATAGAAAGTCTCCAGTCCTTATACCCAAAGGGACCTCTGTAGCATTTAGCGTATATGCTATGCACCGACGGCCAGATCTCTATGGAATGGATGCCGAGCAGTTTCGCCCCGAGAGATGGGACGAAGAGATGCCAATGTACAACAACCCAACGAATGCAAAATGGGGCTATCTGCCGTTCCATGGGGGTCCTAGAATATGTCTTGGGCGTGAGTTCTTTAAGATAACAAGGAAACATTAAACCTTGATAGCGCTGACAACCTGTCTTAGAGGACTTCGCGCTCAGTGAAGCTGCATATGTGACAGTCCGTTTATTAAAGCGTTTTGCATCAATCAAACTCCCTGAGGGAGAGCTAGCGGAACTGGTAGGTGTGGAAAAACAACAGATGACACTCGTTATTTCTATAAAGGAGGGATGTAAGGTTTGCGTAAGCTAGCCTCATACCTACTGTCGTTAGGATGTCAGCATGGGTAATAAGCTTCGATCTGACGTACAGGGAAAGATCATACTGTGTTTCGGTTGACGCTCCATTTCTGCGTCGGCTGTGCAATTCCATCATGGTGCTACTTTCGTAAGGAAGAATCGCTTTTTCAGTATGATCAAGGGTTGGGCCTGTCTACCTGTCTTCCACAACCCGATGAAGTATCAGCACCCCGATTTGGAGTGCAGATTCAGTGAACATGAATAACGTATGTAAGTCAGTTATTGATAGACGGCGAAAGAGATACCTAGAGCAACAGTCCAGGGCTCAGTTCGCATTTAATACTGACAGTAACTCTTCCGGTCGACGATTCTATACCTTGCTACAATCACAAAGTGTTGTCCTTAAGCGGACTATCTTTCGTGAAAGGCACGACAATCGCCTTTGACGTGCGCGCATATTATTGCTGTTGGCTTATCTAGAATAGAATTGCTAGAGATTATGTGATATATAACAGCCTGTGAACAGAAAAAGAGGAGGGCACAGGAGATTGCTCAGGCAGGCCGCGAGGAAAGAACATTTTACAATCTAGTTATCTCTAGTTAACTTGTTACTTTCTCAGGTTGGAATTAGCGAGGTTAATGTCACAGCTACATCAACCTAGAAACTGAGATATTGGCCGCCTTTTAAATTTCTTCATGTTGCTTTGAGTTATGGTAATCTTTTCCTCTGAGCTGCAAACATTAATAAACTTTATCTAAGAAGCGTAAACGGCGCCAATCTTCCGTTTCTGGGTACTTTCTTTCTTCTTCTGTGCAAGCTTCCTAGATATCTATCTCTTTAAAGCACATCCACTCCCATCAAGATTAAGCGCACTAGCAAGTTGGTTCCATGTACAGCATGTGGGCCTCTATGACGTTGTAATTTTTGTATGTTGGAATAAAGAAGTAGTCTAGATTATGCCGAGAACTGTTGAACAGATGACTATGAATTTACCATGGGCGCTGGGAAGACTGTACTTGGTCTCAATCTACCGATCCCCGTTCGGCTTGAAACGGGGTGTGTACCTTACTTGGGGATGGACGGCAGTATAGGTAGTAGAAGTTGCGCCCATTTCCAGCGTTGTTCTAACCCAATTACCAACCATTAACAACTGCTATATGAGCGGGTAAACGCGCTATTCGATCGCCATCCTCAATAGACCATGATTCTAGCTTGGATAATGTGTAGGACAGGAGTAAGAGTAGCTAGACGATTTCTTTATAGCACAGTTGCCAGAAAGGATAAACACAGACATCAGACAATGCTATTTAGGGATGTTTATTTTGACTGCTTTGTTTCTGAACTAGGTAGAGCAGGACATAGTTACGTTTTTTACAGCTTTCATATCATTCCACCTAATATAAAATTCGACATTCTTCTTACTTCATTCCTCGAGCTTTCGAGTGATCATGACTTCAACCTCACCCTGATCTGGGCCCATATTCTTATTCGTTGTACGCTGTCCCATAATAAAAACCCTCTCGATCGAAATGTCATCCGCCGTCGTGTTGCTAAGCTCCATGTCAAAATTGCGAATTACACGAGCGAAAGTGAGATACATCTCCGCATGTGCCAATCTACACATGGTACGTCAGCCGTCTAGATTAAGCACAAGGGAAGCTAGCGTTTGCACAGCGTAACATACCCAATGCCCAAGCACTGGCGCGAGCCTTTAGTGAAACTAGTTAGCCACTTGCTAAGAGGGACTCCCTGCTCTGCAGCTTCGATCCAGCGCTCTGGCGCAAATCTGAGGGGGTTTGGGAATATCTCAGGGTTGTTGTGCACGAAGTATGTAGACTGGCTCAGAGGCGTCTTGAGCATATTAGTATATATGCACTGAAAGGGGCTTTCCGAAATTCACTTACACCTGGAGGGATCGAGTACTTTCCGTAAGTCAGTGTTTCGTCGACAAAAACACGGGGGAGGCGGGTGAGTGGGCCATATGAAAGTCGGATTGACTCTTTGACCACACCCGTCTAGAGTAAATGTTAGCAGGTCTATTGAATTTCGGAGAAGCCTAGAGGAAACAATACTAACGAGGTAGGGCAGAGGCTCAAGATTCGCAACCGTGAACGCTGTCTCAGGGATATGAGCGATCTCTGACAGTTCAGCGCGTAACTTTCCCATCAGTGATTTATCAGACAGAAGATAGAACATGCCGACAGAGAGGGCGCGCGAAGAGGTCTCAGTTCCAGCGAAGATGATCACTTGACCTTCGTCTAATAGTCGTTGCATCGTACGCTCCGACTTTGGAATTGACTCGTCACTTAATGCTTGCATGATGACAGATCTCCGCTTCCCCTCATCCTTCGTTTCAAGCGTCTCAATGATCTTATTCTTGATTTCCTTTTGCAATTCCAGCAAAGCAGCAACAGGTGGAAAGATTAAGCGAATGATAAAAAGAGGCAACATCTTCAGGTATGCCGTGGCCCACGGCGCGAATCGAGTCCAGTGGAAGATTTCCGATGCGCCCTGGAAAGCTTCCCTGACAGGAAATTCTAGGTCGGGCACGCTGAGGTAGTCGTGATGGTAGCCGAAAAAGCGCTGTGTGATGATGTCGGCTGTCATAGCGGAGAAAGCTTTGTCAAGAGAAATTCTCTTATTCTTGCGAAGAGCGCCATCGAACCGATTTAGGAGTGCAGTAATCCGCTCGTGGAGAAGAGGTTCCATAGCCCTGATAGACCTTTTCGAGAAGTACGGATTCATATAGCCGCGTCGGGAGCGATGCAACGCATGGGGTATAGTTGCGGCCACAGAAGCGGGGATACCAAATCCTGCGACGGTGGAGGGATCTTTTTCAACCTTTTGAGTTCCGCCAACATAGATGTTCTGATAGTATGAAGGATCGTCGATGTGGACTTCATTCGGGTTGATGCGTACGATAGGGCCTGGTCAAGTCCGTCAGTATCAAAAATTTCAGAAAAGGCTTTCGAGAGGTACACCCACGTACCATATTTCCTATGCATTTTTTGTATCTCCCAAATGTAATTCCCCCTCCTCACAGCATCATGCCAGAAGTCAGGGAGAGGCGTCATAGCAGCCATCCATGGGCCAGGAATCTTGCGAAGAGGATGAAAAAACAAATTGTATATGCAGCGCATGCCAATGTAAGCAACCCAAGAGAGGGCAAAAAGACCAGCCAGTTGGCTACTGATTCTCTTTTCTCCATTTGAGAAGAATGGAAGACTACTGTTATACTTCGGCATTTCTGTGTCGACAAGAACGTTGTTGTGGTTTACCGAGTCCATATGGAACAGGCTGCAGTTGGGAGACATCTTTGGGATGTTCATTGTAAGGTACTGTCAAAACAAAACAAAGAAAATGATTCAGCCTTATATTATGGTACTTTTAACCAGCTAATCCTGGCTCACTTCGAACAGCCTTTTTGGTCGCGGTAGTTGACCTGCATAATTGCGGGTTCACATCCTGCAACTTCTGAATGACTGTTTACTATCTCAGCCTGCTCAGTTCCTAAGTAGCGCCTGACCACCAATAAAGTCACATGACTGTGGGGCAGTTAGAAAGATCACGGTACAGCGTCTTCGGCCAGTTTTTTCAGACTGCTTATTGGTCTGTAGGTGTAAGCATTTTGGACGTCAGCGATTTCAACGAACACCTTCGAGCTTTCCCCCCACATGCAGTTGAAAATCAAGCTCATAGCACCCCCCTAAGTAATTACTTAGAGTGGAAGTAGTTATTGCATTCATTGCGCTAGTGTAGGTAAAACTAATTAATAGTTATAGTCGCGGTTAACTTTCAATTATAAATACCAAGTTCCATAAAACCGCATCTAATAAGTCATGCGACATACAATACATCGTAACGAGACGTAGTTAATCAATTAATCAATAAGTTATATAGTTAAGTGCTTGCAAATTCACCCAGCTATGGCGCAGTTAAAAAGATCGAGGCTTATCGTTCCAAATTTCATATTACACACAAAATAAGCGACCTCAGATTGAAACAGAATATCGGAAAAACCGCGGTTTTCCGCGCTTCAAGCATATAACACAGACGCCAATTGATAAGCGGTATTTACTCAGCTTCACCTCTTTTGGACAGGCGTGTACCAGTTCCATGTGATATGACAACTAGTGTATGTGTGTGGGAGTCTACACTAACAAGACCACGTGAGGAAACGCCAGCTTTAGTATCTCTGTAACCTCACATAAAGGCAACCAGTCTTCCATAGTATTGTTAAATGACCTATTGGCTCAGCCAACAAATCTGTGGACCATACCATGACTCAAACGAACCAAAACGCTTTTTCAAACCACGGCGAAAGCCCTAACTTACACCTCTATGACGAAATTAACGATAAGTCTGTTGTTATCAACGAACGCTAGTACTACCCGTCTGCCATTGCGAATGACTTGAAGGATGTCGACCTTCCGTTCAGGACCAAAGAGGAGGTTCTCGCAACGGCTTGGGAATACGCTCGCTGTGTGATCCCTAAATACACCAACTGGCCGCGATATGTTGCCTTCATGCGCACTACCATTATAGGTATCATCGCAGAATTTCGCGGTAGTCTTACAGATATGGTCCATAATAACAGAATTTTGGATTACACTCACTGAAGTGCTAGACAGATTATATGGCGAAACAGTAGGCTAGTACGTCTTTAACTCTAAGCGCCCCCGACCTTTAAAATTTTCCCTCGCTCAATTTTCCTCTTTACTAGTGCCGAGATGTGCCGCGAATTTCGTTGTTTCATATTGATGTCTTCGCAAAAGTTCAGTCAACAGACGAAAACTATGCTATTTCGTCGTTACAGTGATGCATTGTCAAAACGCCTTTGGAAATTCTTCCGCATGCGGGATACTGATGCACTCGCCCGCTTCACCATTGGTGCTGCTCTAGCTTGCAACGACATTGACCATATCTGGTTCGCCAACAAACAATTTGACATCATGGCTGAAATGGGTAACACAATGTACGACGCGGTAGCCTACTATAAGCACCGCTCCGATGGGGAGGTCAACAGTACATTTGCATATGTCCCTGAAAACAAGCGCGTGTTAGCGTTTCACAGATGCTGGAAAGCGCTCTAGGCTTTGGACGTAGCGTGGGCGAGAAAGCCCGAGATGAAGTGCGTCATCAACTTCATCCGCTTCTTTGGTGGCCCAATTCATATGATGATGCGACGATACCGCTTCGTGGAGGAAGGCCTTACCCTAGGCAGACCCGACACAAAGAACGTCATCGCGCAGACACGGAGAAACGTCAAACTATGGAATAGGCTTCATGAGCGGGAAGGTATAAAAGAGCAGAGACTCGAGCAGTACCGCCTTGTGCTTGCACGAGAGAAGTTATTGTTATTTATTCAGTGGCCTTGCAGCAATGCTAGAAAAAGCTAACCAGACTTTGTGCTCTGAATGCGAATATCGGGAGAGTTATGGTGTACCGCAGGATCATACCTTTGGCGGGGTATCCCTTTGTGCTGGGTGTCAGCTGGAATGGTCGGAATATATAGAAAATGTGCTCGAGCGCATGGTCGAAGCTTTTCCAGAAACTGCGGAGCCCATTCACACAAGTGAGATGCGAGCGACATCTTTCGTCACGCAGTGAGTAATGCTCGGGACCAAGATAAGGATTAAGAAAGATTGCATTAATCAGAGCTGTGTTAGCATCTTAATTTTAGATATAATACTAGCCTAGATTGCGGACGGGTCTAGCTAGAATTATAGAGTACTCAGCTTTAGTAAGACTTATCTGTTGTTATACACGTTTAAGTATTGCGGCAACATCGTTTCCATAGTAACGTCCAGCCTTATAGTGTCGATCGGGTCAGGCTCGCCGCCGTGCTAAGTCGTAACGCTCTAGACTGTACACAGTCGGGTGCAGCGATCTGTTCGCTTGGCGCTTCACCCCACCAAAACCAAATCTACCCACCACCTTTGATTGACCCAAATATCACAACCATGCAGTCAAAAAAGACGACAGAGGTCGCAAATCAATTGTATTATACCTAATATTTAGTCTGGTAGCCTCTTGCAGCTCTACAGGCTTCGATTCGGCGTGGCATAGAGGTGATTAGTGTATGAATCAATGAGTCGGGTATGGCTACCCAAGCAGTTTTTAAGCAATTTTGAAACTCCGCCCAGCTATCTACTGTGTTGATATTATCAATATTTGGATAAAGTCGGTAAACCTCTCGCTTCAGAGCCCACCAAAGATGCTCGATAGGGTTGAGATCAGGTGAATATGGGGGCCAGTTGATTGTATTTACTTGGTGAAGTTGTAGCCAGTTTCTCGAGAGCCGTGACGTGTGGATAGGTGAGTTATCCTGCATAAAAAGCTGTCCAGGTCTATAATATGGTAGTAGGCCTTCCTCTAAGGCTGCGATATAGCTGTTTGACGTGTATCCATGGCGTCGCGCAGTTATATCCCGGGTCATGATTACTAGGGGACTACGCCTAATTTGAGACCCATTTTCTAACCAGATCGCGCCCCAAACCATGCAGGCAGGCTGCCTTGCGGTAGATACAGCGTATATCATCTCATGTGACCATTTTTGTGTAGGTAGTCGCCATACCCAAGGAGTGTTACGTCCAGATCCACGGGCGATAGAACACTCATCAGTGAATATCAAAGTATCCTGGTCAAATGCAAAGGTACGCCATGCTGTAGCCCAATTTACACGCGCAATAGCTGTAGCTACAGTGATTTTAGGTCGTCGAACCGCTCTGAACTTATGTAGCCCTTCATCGTCGAGGGCACGTTGTATCGTACGCCGTGATACTCCTTCAAGTCCAGCCTCTCGCATGAGGTCAGGATACTCAATAAAGGGATTCTTTTTTACTATTCGTGATAACAGACGGCGATCGCGAGATGATAGTATCTTTTTTGAACCAAGTCGAGGCAGGGACGTGACGCGGTTGCGGTCCTTGTATCGGCGTATAGTTTTCTGGATACAGCGTTGTGTGCAGTTGAGATCGTTGGCGATTTCAGCCGTACTGCAACCAGCTTCATACTTTGCAAGAGCAAAAACACGTTGCTCAAAGGATAATTCACATCCGCGCATTCGATTTGACGAAATTTGGGCACCAAGGGAGGTCATATTGATGTAGTAATATGGTGTTGAAGTCTAGATAGCTCTGCGCGGGTCGCGTTGTTGTTGCGAGGCCCGTGCTTACGCGAACAAATCGCTGTCCTAGCACTGTAAAAAGGCGCTAGCGTGGTTCACAAGCGAGTCGGCAGCTCCCCACCAGCGCGTCGACGTCGGGACGTTATCACGCAATTTTATCACGGTCAATAAACTATTACAATACACTAAATTAATTACCAGAATCGCCACTATTACTCACACTATCTATCTTAACTGTGCCGGTACGAGCGTTGTGTCCAGTCTACTTGCAATGCCCGCACCGTCTCTCTCCTCGCACCCTCTTCGACGCGCTCTCACCATCGCCACGACTACTACCCGCCTATTTAGCTAGTACTACTTGTACCTCGCCTACAGTAAGAGTCTCTTCTATCCGTACGTATCGCCGCTTACGGCTCTTACGCTTTGTTGCTGTATCTAGAGCTGCTTCAAGGCTACCTACTTTCTCGCGTAGTAACACCATCTCATGTGCTATCTGTTGCGCACCTTTACTAAGCTGCGCGATCTTTTCGTCTAAAGAACTTGCAGAAGACCCAGGGCGGTTTCTTACTCTCTGTCGAATAAGAGTACTTTGAGCCTCGACTTNGCGCGCGTTGCGTGGTGTCTGCGCCTCCCAGGTAGCTGCCCGTTGCGGTGATTGTTTTGGTGTCTGCACCACCACATCAAGCTTTAATAGCACAGCCTGTGGGTTATGTGGGACTAGCCCAGCGCCTCTG